TTGCCCCAGTATCCATCACCGTGGCTACCCTCCCCTGTCCTGCAGCGGTGGGAGCAGCCAGCGGGATTTGGGAAGGTCCAGTGGGCCCCACGGGCCCACTCTGAGCTCGAGGTTTCGGACAATCTTTCGCAAGATGGCCAGGCTGATTACAGTTATAACAGCGCAGGGGCGGGACAGCCCCGGCCCCGGCCGGTCTGGTCATAGGGGCCCCGGCGGCTATGAGTTGTCGCTGTAGACTTTGAACAAACTCCGTCAACGGGGTCACTACCGTAACTAGTTGGGCCGCGACCTCTTTCATGGAAGCTTCTTCCTCGCCCCGGCCTCCTTGAGCTTGCCCGGAGCGACGGGAGGTCGGAGCAGAGGACGAAGCTTTCCGATCCGAGCCTTTTTTTGCCGGACCCAGCCCGAAGCGATCTTCGAACATTCGTGCCGTAGCGGAGTAGCTATTGCGTCCAACACCCGAAGGGCCGTCTTTGTCGGATTCTGAGTCCAGGCCCACATCGTAATTTTCCTTCCCATACTTAATAGCGAACTGAATTAGCTCCGTCAGGGTATGTTCTATAGGGTTGCATTTCTTGCGGATCTTTTTCCGCAGGCGAGAATCTGATCATCCTCTGACGAAATCAGTCCGTACCATTTTCTCCTCCACCCCGGAGCGTTCGGCTAAGTACGTAAAACGTTCAGCATATCTAGCCAAGGTCTCCCGAGGCTGCTGCGTGTATTCCTTTATTAAACGGAGGCATTGACCTGGTGCGATGTGATAAAATCTATCGAGAAATTTCCTCTAGAAGGCTGCCCAATTACTGAAGGGGTTATGTTCATACCACTCAAAAAGTGGTTCCGGCTAACCTTCCGGGAATTCGTTCTCGGAGCAACTGATCCGACCAGCCCTGGGCTTTCAAGGCAGCTAGCCAGGTGCGAGGGTCGGTGTCATCTTCGAAAAAAATGGGAACTTCAGAGGGAGGAGGTACAAAATAAAGGGGATGATCGGCCATCCCCGCGTCGTTGTCGCCGTCGTTTCCACCCCCAATCCGGGGTTCAACCATCGTGGGAGGCGAACCCCGAGCCCGGCCTCTCGCTCGGTTCGGATTGCTATTCGCGGGCCTCCGTCGACGAGGAGCCAGCCTACTCAAAAAAGCGAAAAATCTAATAAAAAGATCAAGAAGAAAAACTTTAAAACAAGGTAATCGTCCTAGGAAAACCTCGGAGCCCAAACGAATCAGCTCTGATACCAACCTCACGCCCCCTCGCGGCTTCCCGTACGGGGTTCGCCGATCAGAGTTCTTGGAGGAGCGTGGCCGAGGATTTTTGGCCGTAGGTGTTGAGTCTCCCGGACGGAACGGGAGACTCTCGTTTTGTGCCAGAGGTTACCCAGGAGTCGAACCGTCGTCGCGAAATCCCATGGGGGTAGGATCGCTCTGAAATGACAAAATCATAAGGGTTTCCGCGAAAACGAACTGCCGTCGTGCATCAGGACGGGAAAAGGCATCAAGGGGAGAGGGCCATGGCGGCGGAAGACAAAACTTCGGCCGTGAGGGGTTTTGGGGGATAGGTGGTGGGTTCGAAGCCTTTAGGCCTCGTCCTCGGCCTCACGAAGTGACCGAACCATCGAGTCTTTTGCTGTAGAGAGGGTTGGTTCGAGGCCTTCAAGCCTCAGCGTCGGACTCACAGAGTCCACGCGGAAGGTTCCGGGAGGGTAAAGTGGCGGGAGGACTCGACGACATCCGAATTCGAAATTGCGCGGGCAGCGCCCCTGCACTACGGGAAAGCTCGGGGAAACGTGTCGCTCCCTCTTAACCCAGGACCAGTCGTCGCCAAGAACATGAGTCCCCCTGGCGACACCAGCGACAATCAAACTGCGGCCGCCACGCGGCGTGAGCGGCTGACCAGGGCAACACGGTCAAACCCGTATAAGGCAATATTAGAGTCGGGGAATCAAAACGCTCAATCAAGACAAACCCGTTCCCCCTTATATCACAAGCCCGAGGCGGGTCTCGCCAGCACACTTGCTCCGTTCGCCTCAGCGCGTGCCGTACGTCCGCATCGCAGTAGACACTGTCGTCATTTGTGATGGGGAAGGTCGGTAGCGGGATGAGACGATCGGAGGTAGGCGATGAACACAGGCAACACGGGCAAGATCCCTCGCTCCCGGTCATCCGAACCAACATCGACTCCATACAACACTCGATGCAACCTTTCCTCTCAGGGTTAGTGCGTCGAAGGAGGATGGCGAAATCGAAGCTCTCTTCCTCTTGCGGGGCCGTCGACCGCRCGCGCGGACGCAGGCGGTTGACGTCACCGGTAYGGGGACGAGAAGCTCAAAAAGGAAGGCGAGAGARAGAGAGGGAGGGAGCTTACACCGAGAACGCGCGCGCGCGCACGAAGGGCCGCGRAAGGGAGGGGAACAAACGGGATTAMCACACTCGTACTCCTAGGCAGACGGTCCCCCAGTTCAGTTTCCCCGTCCCCGCCCGGACAACTACATACACACATGCATGCAAACAATCAACAACCCTTGACAGGACATCTAATCATCCATAGACCTTCGACATCACTCATGCGCACAACCAGCTCCCATCACTCGGGGCTTCACACACACGACATGCATAGACAAAGTAGCAATGGAGATAAAAGCGAGTCCTTCTTGTACACAAAAAATTCAATTAACTGCCGCCCCCAGGCGCAGCCTTCAAAACCTCCCAAGACCACCGACCACCATAGCCACAAGGCCTTGCCGCGGCCGGCGTCAACTCCCCACCACTGCTCAGTCCCTCCGACTGCGTCGCCCCGAGACTACCGCGGGTCCACCCCACGTTGTCACTCTGCCCGTCCTTGGGCTCGTCGAGCCTGTTCGGCGCCGCGGACTTTCGCGCATAGCTCGCGCAGCGTTGCAGCCGAGATCAAAGAGGAAGAGAGGAGAGGGTTGCGCGAATTTATAGCGCGGGAGGCGGCGGGTTGTCAGTGCGAGGTGCGGGCAGCACAGGTTGTAGATGAGCAGGACAGGAGGAAGGTGGGGAGTTAGAGGGTTCGACCCGCAGGATGGCATGGTCCTATGTGATTGGGGTGTCCGTTCAAGTGGCGCGCGGTTTCCCGCTCTCCACTTTGATCCGAGCATCCCAACTACGCGGCCAATCACTTCGCGGGGATAGGATCGAGCTGGGCAGAGGGGAAGACGAAGAGTCCGGTATGGGGAAAATGTGCGCAGCAAGAAGGGAAGATGGCGCGGGGATGCAAAGCAAGAAACAGGGATGCGAGACGCGCGAAGAGATCGGAGCTTGGGCGCGCGCGCGCAAAAAGTCAAAAAGTCCCAACCGCCCCCGTTTCTTGGTTTTCATACCGCAGCCGCTATTCGCCCGCGCGGGAGTTATTAACCAAACAAAATGAAAAAGCCGTTTCAAAAAGAAAACAAAAGCACAAAGAAAGAAAAACCTCTTTCTGTCCGTGTCCGTACTTCGGGGCTTTCGTGGGATTTTTCCTCAGGGATACGGGAAGCCGCGCGGTACGGATCTGAGCTAATCACACGTGAGCTGCCCCCATCCCCGTGTACCATAACGGCCCACTTGTACGCTGTGAGAAAGAGGCAGAGTCAAGGGGGAGGGGATTAACACAGGGAGGAGAGATGGAGGGCAGACAAACAAAGAACGGTATAGGGAAAGTAAGGGAAACTACAGAGTGTGGAGTGAAGATGAAGGCAAAAGAGGATAAGAAAAAGCTCAAGAATGAGTCTGTCCTCGACGAGAGAGAGGACATAGATTGTAAGGATGAGGTGGATGAATACATGGAAGACCTAGCTGAGCATTCTCAGTGCAATAATTGCCACGACGGCTGGCATTGAGCATACCCACTGTACACCCCTGGCAAATCTGTTTTGATATCCCAAAAATCCCAAAAAAAAATAAAAAAAGCACTCAGACTTCAACCCATCATAGACAGACCTTGGAAGGAAGCTTCAAACTCCGAAAATCCGCGATTCTTTGAGAAAATATTCACTCTAGGACTTTCTTTGATGTATCTAACCACAATTACAGTCAGTGGCGGATGTATCTGTCCCCACTTACATCAAGAAATTGGTCAGAAAAGTCCCGGTGTGAGTATTCCGGGAACTATTCCCCGAGAATTACAAACATCAGCAAACAACTCAGTCTCTCCCTCTTTAATTCCATCTACTCCTTACCCTAAAAAAATCATTCGTTAAAAATACCCCTCTTCTGTGTCTACTCCTTCCCCGATCCCTCATTTTACACAAGGGGCGAGGTCCCACTAGCCCAGAGGACTGGATTGAACGCCTGTATCTGGACGTGTTTGTGAAGAGATGCAGAGCATCGCAACTATGATGTGGCTGTCTGCATCTCTCCATAAAACTCATCCAGATTCAGGTGCTTAATCCTCTTTGCTAATGGGACCTCGCCCCAGACCACACTTTTGCGGCATGAAGTACTATGAACCCAAAAAAAAAGAAAAAAAAAACTTCGAAGGACAGAAAAGGAAAAGGGCAGAACTTGAAGGTCTCCTCTTCATTTTGAATTCTTTTCATTTTCTTTATTATATTTAATTTATTTTTTTGAATTGTTTCCCCCTTTTTTCATCTGGGCAGGGGATAGTGGGCTTGAGTGGATTTGGCAGGTGACTCGTTTTTCGATCTATGCATGTGACAACTGTCATCTTTGTGCAGGGGCCATGGTACTTCTCTCTGCATCGGTCAAATTATCTAAACCACCGGTACTCCAGGGGGTCTTACGCCCCCTCTGTGGAGGCTCTGATGCAAATGCATATGGACCTGCGCGGCACACCGATTCAGCCACCGCGTTAACGCCTAAGAACGTGGAGGTACTGGTGGTTTAACGGACGTCCCAAAGAACAGGACAAAAATTGGCAACCATGGTCTCCCCCCCCCAACAAAAACAGTTTCAAAATTCAAAGAAAGCAAAAAAAAAGAAAAAAAAAAGAAGGAATGTCAGAACAAGGTCAGCTAGTCAACAAGGCAATGGAAAAGGTCATACCTGAATTCTGGTATTCATCGGTCTGATCTGGACCTGGGCACCGGCTCGGATTGTCCAGAATCCAATGCCCCATGGATTGGCATTTGGAATATCATTAAAAGGCGTCATGGTCTGCGTGCTCCTTCCTTGGTTGTCTATTACAAGTTCTGTCCTTTCGGCAGATACCAGAATGATAGTTCCTGCACCCCCCGAATTACCTGGACAGCCCTTGCTCTCACCACCTGTATGTGTGTTACACAGGCACAGAGAGAGAGAGAGAGAGAGAGAGAGAGAGAGAGAGAGAGAGAGAGAGAGAGAGAGAGAGAGAGAGAGAGAGAGAGAGAGAGAGANAGAGAGAGAGAGAGAGAGAGAGAGAGAGAGAGAGAGAGAGAGAGAGAGAGAGAGAGAGAGAGAGAGAGAGAGAGAGAGAGAGAGATGGTGAGTAAAAGCACTGGGACTCACAGCAAGTACCCAAAAGACCGAACAAACGAACGAATAAGAGAGGGGCAGTCCTAGGTTCAATCTTCTGCGCCTCGCATGAGTGTTGGTGGCAGCAGCTTGTCATTCTTGTCCTGTAGGCTCAGGAGAAAGTCGGTCAACATCCATGAAGACTTGCTTACTTCCTTTCATTTTGCATCTTCGTAGAGTTTCTCTTTCTTTTTCAAAAGAAAAAAACAGAGAAAAAAAGGCCACAATCGATGGCCACAGAAAGCAATCAGGCCCTATCATATGATGAACACCAATCCAATACCAGATAACAATAGCTGTCGAGTGGCATAATTTTTCGTGTGGCATAATTTTTCGTGGGACATGCGGACAATGATAATAACAAGGGTCTGGCAGCGCTGACTCTGACCCCGCTGGTGCTATGGTCGCGCTCTGCTAGCACGAAATAGGCCACTTTCAGGGCCAGGTCCATGGCTTCTCAGCACAAAAATATAATCAGCGGGGCCTGCCCCTGAGTGGCGAGGGAAATCAAAACGATTCATTAACTGTGACCTGGCCACAGTGAGATTTGAGGGTTTAGAAGTTTACACTTAGGGCCCCAGAGGGTTGCCAACCTCTGTGGGGGCACCCTCACAAAATGGTGCATAAAAGGCTTCTGCCCCAGCTCCAGATCAGGGGTCGGCAGACGGCGGTCAAATTTTTGAAAAAGATCAACCACTGATCCCCATAACGGTCGCTGTGCCAATTACATAAGCTTGTCGGTTACCTTGTCTTCCGTTGCTCAAGACTTATAGGGCTATGGCAGACAAACCCCTAAGGTTGGAGCAGGTGTTCAGGACCGCCAGGGCGATAGCAACCAAGTGGGTCAGATGCGATTCACGTGCACCTTCCCCTCTGTCGCATACCGAAGAAGACGTGCTGCAGCAGTGGGCCCTGCAGAGGAGAGGTTATCCAAGGGGCACTGCAGTGAATTTTCAGCAAAAGTGATTTCATATGAATCAAGGGTGCAGGTGTGATGACGCATGCAGATAATTGAGATTCTTGTAATGACCCGTCAAAACACAGACTGAGAACACTGCTGATTTCTGAAGTTCTGCCGATGGAATGGATGCYTTGCTGAGATTCCCGCATTCTGCTGTGTTTTCTAAGTCTGTCTGTGTGTGCGTGTTTGTGACCTGCGTGCCTGACTGAGTGCTTGTCGGTATGAGCGTGTGTGTGACCCGCAAGGGTACTTGCTTGTTCGGTAGGCCCGTAGGGCCGGTACGTACCTGTGGCCGTGGCATTGAGGGTGGAAGCAGGGAAAAACACTCAAGTGGCGAAGCTAGCGGCCCCGCGGCCCTTGGGGCAGCGGAAAAACACTCGTAGGCCGGTAGGCCGATACTGCACCCCACTGCAGTTGGCGTGAGGGGGTACTGGAGGCCGAGCAGAAAAAGACAAAGTTGGCATTTTTAGAGTCCAGTAGCGGTAGGGTAGGTCTAGGCTGGTACCAGTCCAACCAGTCTGAGTCTAGAGCCTGTACGGGTAATATCAGGGTCTGCAATGATGTTTCCCTCCGAAACGGAGGAGGTACCGGTTKCTTGGAGAGGCCGAGCGGCCTGGAAGTCACCGCCCAGGAGGCAAGTAGGCCGCTATATCAAGAGGCAGGGCGGAGAGCCCAGCCTCATTCTTCAGTGTGCAAGTTTGGCGACACGCTGCTGGAGCGCTGGCTGGAGTAGTGCTGGGCACTACAGCGCTGCTGGGAGGAAGAAGCCGGGAGCTTCCACCTTGGCTATGGTGGAGCTCTACCGGTAGGAGGAGGAGGGAGAAGGGGACCAAGGAGGAGAGTGGCAAGGCACTTACTGGCTATGGTAGACACCATCTTCATCTCCTTGCTAGGCGCTGCATCAGGAAGGCCCCAGTGGGGGTAGTGCCGCATCAAGGAAGCTCGGGACAGAGTCAGGCATGGTGGATGAGTGGGCAGCGGCAGAGCTGCATGGTGATGACCTTGAAGTGGAGCAGTGGCATAGCTGCTTTGAGTGGTCCTTTGGACTGGAGGCCGAAGCCTCAGTAGTCCACCATAGCCTCGGCATGTATGTAGAGAAAGAGGAAGGGTTGCTATGATGGACCTCATGTTGTGCCTGCAGTAGAAGTGGGATTCGGACATAGATTCTGGTTCAGTCATTCAACATTATTATTGTTATTTCTTGTTTGAATAAGAGGGAGGAGATAAGGAGGAAGAGATTGGTTGGCGAAGAAGAAGAGCCTTGACATTGGTCTATGCTGGAGTACATCATCATCTTCTTCTTTCTTACTTCTTCTTCTTCTTCTTCTTTCCCTCTCTTTCCTCTCAAGTTCATTCATTTCTTTTTGCAATTGGATGGCATTGTACTTTCAGATGAATGTATACTTCGAAATTGGCCAGGATCGTAACATTCTGGAAAACCTTAACAGTGGTATGAATGCTGGTCACGGTCTTGACTTTGGACACGTATCGGGTGCGGTCAGTGGCCACCCCAGTGTACTTTCTCGCCAACTATCAGCTGGTCACCTGGTGTTATCTCTTGTTTTGTACGGCATCTCAAGAGAAGTGATACTGTGTGCGAGGAGGCTCGTCTGGTACGGTTTCCAAGAGAAGTGAAGTGATACCGTGTGCCACGAGGCGAGCAGAAGAGTGAAACTCAAAATGAATGTAGTAGATGTTTTAATATCACATCATTACTACATCATCAACAAGCGTGTATCCCACCAGCGGTGGGTACATGCTACAGACCTTTCACCTCAACGGCTCAGTCTGGAGTGCAAGAAAAAAGGTGAAAACAGGCTCCTCAGCTTGTGCGATGTCAGTCAGCAGTGGTCACCGGCATTTTGTTAATCGTCTACCCTGTGTTGTACCTCACGATGCATGGTTTTCTGAAGAGATCGCTACCATGCAGGAAGGATGTAGAGGAGGCGGTAGAAAGAAAATTGAACTTCCTCACTTGGCTACTTCATATAACAGAGATATTTGTATGTCGACAGGGACGCCCACTGCCCTGAGCACTCAGGATCAGTCAGTACCGAAAATGATGCAGTGACTGCAAGATATGTATGGCAATGGCTGACCCCGCACTCTGTGATATCAGCCCTAAAAACAACGCTGTTTCTCATTCTTCTACTCCAGCAAACTTTCAGGATAAAAATTTGTAACTATTGCTCCCCAGCTCAACCACTCTTGATGAGCTGCCTCCCAGCCTAGGCCTACCAAGTCTGCATGTTGGAAATATCTAGAAGTACAGGTCTGGAATGGCCTCCTCAAAGCTTAGTGAACAGAGATTCTAGAAAGATGTCCTCGGTTCAAATCTCACAACCTTCACAGCGGCACAGGTCTGGAAGGGCCTACTCTAACCTTCACCAACCGAGATTCTACAAAGGTCTTTACGTTTGAAACTCACAAGAGCTTCCAAGTGCAAGACCAGGGAAGAGCAAAAACAACAAAACTAGAATTCAACAAAAACGTGAGGCAGTTCGTGGGTTCACATCCCGCTGCCCCAACATCTGCCCTTTTCACTAATTCTCAGTACGATCGAGAGATGTCCGGGTTGAATTGTGAGGTCCCCGGCCTCGATTTGACCTTGGTAATAATATGTTCTCTTGAAAAAAAAAAAAAAAAAAAAAAGAGATGTCCATAATATGATGCCACATCACCATTGTCAGCCAGGTCTGACGATCTGAGTTCTGTGCAATGCCCGTTCTGCACGGCCCCTCATCATGGTAGTTTGGGTTCGCGCACAACACTGTTTTGAAGAATTGTCGGGTGACTCCCGACTTTTTGACGTTCTTTTGTACAAGTACTTTGAAATGATCCAAGTTCTCACCAATGCTCAACCTCGCAAGTATGCAGAGAACATTTACACGAGAGTCCACACATGAGAAACCGAGCCAAGATACAATCAACACACGAAGAACCTGTCACCGAATTCTCATTATTATACAAGCAATCATTTATGTCACCAGCTGGCTCTGCCGCTCACACACACAGCATCTCAACATCAGCTATGGCTCTACTCTCTCTTACTCTCTGTCTGTCTCTCTCTCTATGACTTGGTCCGCTCTGCCTCACTCTCTCCCTCTCTGCTAACCCAAGATCGTAACCCTGGATACACCCACTCAGAGAATCTTCTGGCTTGGCAGATATGGTCGCCCGAACTCCTACTTCACTACCATAGCTATGGAGTATCCCTCAAGCACCATCTTCCTCCTCCAGGCACGATGTGCCCAAGTTGCCTCCACACACATGCAGCAGCAGCGCTTCTCCATCTTGCAAAATGAACAAGTGATGAGCCGATGCAATGTAGCAGCTAAATATAGAGTTGGGAGTTGGCTTGGCCTGCTTCAGACCGGTACCGGTCGCTGCGGCCTGTCTGCTGCAATCATTTTGGTCCGGTTGCTTCCGGACTTTCCTGGGACATGCTGCAAAATTAGGACTTGGGACTGGACTGGACTGGTCTGGACTACCGGACTGATTCTAACAAGCTGTGATGTTTCGGTACCTACACCTGCCGACCTACGACACTTCAACCCACGGACTCTGAGATCTACCCTACCGGGGACTGCTTGGGACCGGGACAATTTGGGACCTTGGGACGGGGATTCGGGACATCTGCAGCGTGAATCCTTTCACTCCCGCCGGCCTAATTTCGAGGTCCTCCTAGAAACGTTAGGACTTTAGCGATGGTAGGTGTTGAGTGCCCTATGTGCACTCTTATAGTGGGACGATATGAGAGGCTGTCTCTATTAACTCATCTCTCGTAAACCAGCGGTTTTCGCTGGGATCCTGGCACGCAAGTCGAACTATGTACTGCCTCTGGGACCTCCCTCGGCGACCACTACGGAAGGTATCTTTTCAGCGATAATCATGTCTACGTCATACTGCCCATCCATATCGGGTGGAATCAAAAATAACGCGAGGGGAACTGGTCATTAGACACACAGGAAGTAACTTAGAGGCGTGGAAGACCGGGTAAGTATGCAGATGGGGCGGAATCTCGACAGTACAGGAAGGACCATCTGCTTCACCTTTCACGCCTAGAATCTGCCAGGGTCCTCTGTACGCAGGCAACAGTTTCTGTGAGATTCCTTCCTCAGGGACAACCTCTTAAGATATGACCAGACAAAGTCACTACCGGAAATTGTGAAGGACGGTGGTGCTTAATCATCTGGTGGTGGGCCTTCGGCAACCCTTTGCAGATCCCTTTCATATTGAGCAGAGCGAGGGGATGCATCATCGTTACGATCCGGATGTCTGGACCGCCATCCAGACGGTCTGGATTCAGTCCGGACTCCAGACGTCCAGTCTGGAAGGTCCGGATCTGCCAAAAAAAAAAAAAAAAAAAAAAAAAGTCAAACGGTCCACGACCCTTCTCCACTGAGGAGCCAAGCCCCCAAAATTGTTTTGGGGGGTTTTCAGGCCTGTTTTTTGTTTTTTTGGGGGGTCCAGACATGGTGTATCTCTATAATAATTTATTACTGCTACCGAAGTAATGAATTACTAATAATTCGTTACTTTATGGTGTGATGGAATGATAAATAGTTTGAATCTAGGCTACCAGCCGGACCGGCCGGGTCCCGGGTGGCCAGCACGTGCAAGGACCAGGGAAGGTCCCAGCAAAAAA